TACATTTATATATTTATCTCAGTTTGCATATGATGTGGTTTTCAATGGAAATATATAAAACAACGTATTAAACCAAATGATTTTTTAAATATATAAATAGTTTGGTATTATGTGCTATATAAATAGTTCAGTATTATACGCTATATAAATTCCACTGTACATACATATATACATACATTATAATTGGGCATTATGGCAGTACCATCTATAAGGAGTAATCATAAATACAATCACAAGTAACTGGTGAATGTATAGTTAGGCCTACACTCGTTCCCAACCAGGATCGGATCCGGGATTCTTCTTCGGGGTAGGGAGAAGCCAAAATTATTTAAATGAATTTGAATGGAACAATAGGCCTACTAATTTGAATTGTTTTGATTTTGTGGGTATATGCTGCGATTTTCTCAGACTTTAAATTTTCAAATTTGTTCAGTTAATTACATGATAAAAATATTCCCAAATATATTACAAACAAGTAGGCCTATTAGGAAAGCGTACTTGGGTCTATACAGCTTTTCCTCCAATTGGAGACCTTTCTAACCAAGACCATTTAAAAAATAAAAAATAAAAAAAATCCGCTAACCATCATCAATCTTTCTTCTTTTCTTCTTCTTGGAATATATGTGAAGGCTTTGTCCCGAAGTGACAAGGGCTGTGAGATGGACCAGTACACCGGGGTAACCCAATACTAGACCCGTCATACACACAAGCACCAAATTTGAAGGCGAATTGTAAAAAATAAAAACCTAAACTGGACATAGTTACCTGTATTAATGATACCTGGATTTATGGAAAACCAATAGGGCAGAGCTAAACCCATCAGGAAGGAAAAACCGATGATGAATATGTTCCGCGATGAGTTCATATCGGCAAACTGTAGATTTGATAATCCAACACCGGTTACCATTCCTGAATACGATGAAAATAAAGGAATAATTGTACTAATAATTAACTTAAAATTATTTATATATGGAATATAACAGTTGTTATTATTTTGTTTAATCTGTGTATCTTTTTGGGCTTATTTGTCACACGTAGGCGTAACTTCGCAGTAGCGTATGTAATGTAGTACTGTAATAGCATTCCTCTTTTTTATATTTTAAAATTTATTTATAGTATTACCCCAAAACGGTTAAGAGACTACCATCTTATTGTATATATATATTATATATATACATATATATATATATATACTGTATATATATATAAATATACATAAACATATATATATATATATATATATATATATATTGTTTATATAATATATAAAAGATGAAGAAAAGAAATTTTACTGAATGTTTCAAATGGAAATGGCTACTTGATTCCAATACTACCGCCAAACAATTGATGGTTCACTGCCCTAGTTGCTGGTGAACGAATTATACTTTCTATCTGTAATAAAAACAACTACTTGTATGTAAATCGTACCGAACATCACGCAAAATATTCCTCCGATGATAGGATCTGGTAAAGTGACGAAAAGCGCACCAAATTTTCCAAACGTCCCTAGCAGAATCATGATAATTCCCGCCACTTGGACAACAAGGCGACTCCCAACCTGTGTACAAGGTTAATCCAAAGAGTTAGTACCAAATCATCAAAAGGTAAGAATAGATATTATTGTGTACACGAGAGATTTTACAAGCGCTTTGAGCACATCTTCAAATGGATATGAGCGCTATACAAATAGTATTTATTATTATTTAAATTCACCACGAAGCTCCAGTGTATTTCAAGCAGGGATTCTGGGTTTGAATCCACAGATGAAGCGATTTTTTTCTCTCGCATACTTTCTCCTATCCGCACTAAAGTATTACTACAAATACATTTTAGAGTGTTCTTTTTATTTACATCATGTATATAACATTATATATATACATATATACTGTATATATATATATATACATATATATATATATATATATATATATA